CCTTTTCCCCTGCCCTGCCACCAGCAATATCCACTTGCAGGCAGCTAGATATGGAAAAAAATAGTGTTTCTGGAAATTCCTCTGATATCTCATGGCAACGTGTGCTGCAGTATGCCACTATTCAGAGTCTGTCAGACTCTCCTGTGCTCCTGATTTGTACTTTGCTCTGGCCTGCTGGAAGTTTAAATCCATCACTGAAGATGGTATCAGACAATTTGCATTTAAGAAGCCATCAACTGTTGTTACCAATTTTTGACAGTTTCTGAAGGTGTGTTAACATGAGTAATGGTGATACTCAGGTTCCTCCCCAAGACAACAAGTTTTATGAGATTGAGCATGCTAACATTCTCTGTCGCCAGCAACCTGTTTCATGCTGATCACCTTCTACAATTTATTTCAGACATACCTACATCAGGGAAAGAACAAATGCCACTAAACCCATGACCTTATGCTTACATTTCTGGTTACTTCAGCCATGTACCTTCTCTGTAGACAAAGGACTTAACGCTTGAAGTCTGCAATTTATTTTGGCTAAGAAAAATAATAGAAAAAGGCGGAAGCTATCGTGGCTTCCCTTTTTGCATTACTGATCTTCTCGTGCACTATGGTGAACTTGAGATTTGGACACAGGAACTTGTGCTACCAGCAGTGGTCTGGCTTTCTGGCTTGTTCAACCCTCAGCCTTTTATGACAGGTAAGCAGGAACAGTTGTAAGGAACCAGTCATATTTCACTGACAGACATTTATTTTTCATCACTGGTGTTAGGTATGTTTGTGATGCTCTCTGAAGAGTTAAGCACAGTTTAAATAAAAAGATAAAAATCAGCCAAATAGCAGAATATCTCCTGAAAGCAGGGGGAACAATCCAAACTTGTCTTCAGTCTCCTCAGAAGGGTGAAGACAAAGCAGCAAAGGAAATCAATGATCCGTTTCATAGTTTAAAAAGGTTAGGAATGCAAGTTTTCCTGCCATTATTATTTAACCAATTCAGTGCATATGCCGTGGTACCATTCTGGTTTATTCCTTAGTATTAACACATTTACCAGGCTAAGTAGAAAAAAATAAATCAGTCTGCCATGCCTCTTCTTGTAGTTGTTGCCACAGTAGGGGATGAAAAATTCTCAGCAGTGTATTGATGTCTCGCTTCTTGCTGTGATCACAACACATATTTATTCTGAAGACCACACTGAAGCTACATCAGAGCCCGATAACAGGGTATCTCAGATGCTGCATGGCAACCAGATAAATCCTTCACTAGCCTAGCAGAAAGGTGGCCAGAAGGTTCCCACAGGACACTTTGTCTGGGCTGCCATCGTTCCCTGGAGATGGGCAGTGGGGACCCAGGGTGTATTTGCAGCCCACATCCTGAAGTATCCCTCCACGTACGAAGAAGGGGATGGCAGCATGCAGGCAGGCAGCTCCTCTTCTCTCTGCCACTCATGTCCCCACATGGTGCCCATTTTGTGCCTCAGGCATAGAGAAACCCCACTGTATTTTTCACTCCTTTCACTGACTGGTGATATAAGGACCAGGCAGGCTAGAACAGATGTTAGCACTGGCTTGTTCTGAATGGGGACTCGGCTGGAGAGACACGATGTCTCTGAAAGCAGACAGCAGTGCAGTCTTGCTCCCCTGCTGGGCAGGGGGCTGGTTTGTTCTGCACTGTGCTGCATGTTTTGTTTCCAAACTGCATTTGTGCAGCTTTTTTGCTTTACTTCAACTAATGGCCAAAGGGAAAAAAAAAAACCCAAAACCCCAGTCAGCCTCAGGCTTGTGCACAACAGGCCCAAGAGAGGCTTGTTAACAGTTCTGACATTACTGTCTGGATATTGACTTACTGAAATTATTATTTTTTAAAGCTGTAATGCAGAGCATGGCACACAAGAACAACTGGCCTTTGAATAAGGTGTGCTTGACTGTAGATGCTACCAAAAAGACCAAAGGTTATAGCCACCCATGAAGGGAGGGAGCCTCTGTCTCTGGGCTTTTTGTGAAAGGTAAAAAAATAAACTTAAATTGCTTGATCTCAGTAACCTAGTTCAGGGACTCCAGCTTTCTTAATTAGGTAGAGAAGTTCCACCAGGAGCAGGACTAAAGTGTTGTCATCCTACGAACAGCACCAAGGAAGTTTAGGAATGGTGGTGGATTGTTGCTGTTGGTCCACTGTGATTTAAATTTCATACCAGCTTGGTGTCCTAATCACTGACTATACTTCATGCATTTAAATAACTGTTAACTGAGTCTCTATAAGGTCAAGCATTGTAGCAAAGCAGCAGCTCTAATCTAGTTGAGGTTCAGAAGCTTAAAGATTATTCTAGGGACTTCAAATTTCATGCTGATACTGACCACTTAAAAAAAAATTTCTGCAGCTCTTAGAGATGCAGAATAGGGTTAGTAGTTACCAGATGTTGTTAACCTGGATCAAACCATCTACATAATTGCAGTTAAAAACAAATAAAGAAACAAAAACCCCAAAACAAACAAACAGACAAAAAACAAAACAAAAAAAAAGCTATTTCAAAATAATCTTTCTCCTTTATTCCACCTTGGCAGAAAGTTGTCAGTTCTAAATAAACAGGCCTAAAGACGTTTTATTTTTCATTTCCTAAGCCATAATATTTCTAAGCCTTGGGGGGAGACACACCAAGAAGCAAGGAAATAAACTTGAGAACCCCTGTATTAGCATGAGGTCTAAAATGACACTTTAAAGTGGCTGATGTGTATGACACAAGTAGATTTTTCATTTGGGTTTCCAAGGAGTCAGTTATTGCAGTAGCTGTAATATGGTTGTAGGCTGTCCCTGGATGGAGATCGTGTTCATCTGTTGAGCTGCAACCCCCCTTATAACAACTTTCAGAGGATAAACATTGTACCTTGCTCTTTTGGAATTCTATTTTCCTGAGACTGAAGCATCTAGTTTAGGAATAACAATCAAAGCTCGTAGTCAAAATGAGATTTTAAACTTAGAAAGGCTGTCAACTAAGTTACAGCTACTTAGAGGAAAGGTGAATGACTCCAACAGGCAATTACAGAAACATCATCATTACCCATACTCTTCACTAGACCTGAACATAATAAAAGGAAAGCAGCTCTTTTGGAAGGGGAGTTGCTACTAGAGCAGGTAAGCACCAAGGGGAAAGTGAGGGACTGGAGCAAGGACCACCATGTCATTTGACTGCTGCTTTTTGAAAAGGTACCTCAAATTTTTCTAAGGATTTTTTTTAAAACTTCTGTCACTCAGAGGGCAATACTGTTCATTCCTCCTCTGGATATGAGGAAGGTATCAAGGAACCTTGTGAGCTGCAATTGCTGTGCTTCCATATTGGTGTTGGTATTTGCAAATATTAACCTTCCTGCTGCTACATAAGTGCTCCTAAAAATCCATAAGCATCTGCCACGTTTGATATGCTGGTTTATGTTAGAAGAACACACAACAAACTTAACAAATCCAGCAGCTTTCAGAAAGTGCATGGCCCTTCAGCAGCACAGAACACATCTGTCTTAACTGCACTGAAGTACCTGTTTGATACCTCACTATACAAACATACACTAAATACTCCAGTGTAGTTCCTTTTGGAATATTTGACCATAAAATAGTGGAGAATTAGGAGAAAATCTTAGCCCTTGACTTCAACAGGCACTCTCAGTCACAGGCATACTCAAGAGTCCCAACTGTAAGTAGTTTCTAGTCCCTGCTTTCAATAAAAGGATATGCTGATGAAACCAGAAGTCCAGTCCAAGAAGATGCTACGTACTCGTCGCCACATTCCTACAAAGAGATGATGCACAACAGGCCTACAACAGTCTAAACTAAATCTGTATGTTCAAATGTAGCTGTAATATTTAGCAGTAAGCAACTGTTTAAACCCAAATTATTCTGGTCTTGCACTACAGACCACATGCATACGTTTATTAGAGGCGCCAGGTGGGACATCCAGCTAGGGACTGTAGCTTTTAGCCCAGCTCAAGGAATTGACTCCAGCAATGCCAGTCATTTTTGTAAGGGCTATTCTGGTAGATCAAAGGGAAACTAAGAATGTTTGTTAACATCCACTTTATAAAACCAAAAGCAGAGGACCAACTTGTGTTTGGACTTTCAATCTGAACAGCGTGTAGAAGCCACCTAAATGTGTTCAGGCAGGAGTAGCCTTACTCTTGGCAACTTAGTACTGAGCTTGCAACAGTATGTGCTGCTTTCTCAATCGGCCTTGTACTTAAAGCAAAACGAGAAACATTTTTCACAGCTGGAGCAGTGGATTTGCCTCACAAAAACACACTCCTTAGTGCACTTATGTGCTCTACATTGTTATTTCCTCATCCTTCAGTGTTGTGTTCATGTGTTTCTCCATATAATGATTACTGATCTGCAAGCATTCCTTTATTACACCAGCTATGGGAAAGTAAATGGGAAACATCAGCAGCTGGGTGCAGCTGGACTCATAAAATGCTCCTCTTGATTATTACTCTCTCTACATAAAATGAAATGTATATCTTAGAAGAATTTTAATATAATCACACTGCAATACAAACATGTTACATTTTAAAAACAAAGTTGCTTAAAAGCTTGGTTGTACATTTGAAAAAATGTCTAAGTATGAACTGTATGTGAAAAAAACCAATCCCGAACTTAGTGATTTTAACCAGTAAGGTAGCTGGTTCAGGCAGCAGGTGCATCACCCAAAACCAGCTTTCTCTTTATTGGGATAACGAACAATTTTTTTTTTTTTTTTTTTTTTTTTTACAAAACACTCTTCCATTTTCATGTTTCAGTGATTAATTGCACTTTGGAATAATAATAAAAAAAATTCTCCCACTGCTGAGTTGCATCAGTTTTAGCTGGAATATAATGGCATTCAGATGAAAACACCCTTCACTTTTTTGCGGGCACAAGTTCCATAAACTACAGGTGGAAGAATAGGTTCAGAAAGCAAGGATTGGAAAACTGAATCTTTGTGGTCAAGTTGGAACACAAGGGGTTTTTTGCTTCTTTAAAGATGAGGTATGCTTTCCAGATACTTGTTAAAACACCCTTTCTGCAAACTTGCACAATTATATAAATAAAAATATTGCTCAAATTGACCAAGTTCTCCATCACGTGGTTGTGTAGCTCTAATAAAAATTAACCACTCATGGTTCAAGAGTGCCATTTCACGTAACATATCGGTCTGTGCATGTAGATTTCTCTACTAAAACATTTTCCTGAGAGATCTTTTGCATAAGACCACATCAATCAAAAAGTTCCCAACACAGAAATGCATATACTATACTCTACAATTCTATCTTATATAAAATATAGTAATAACCTTCTGAAGTCAAAATTTGTCAACATGTTAACCAGGCACAGCTCGAGTTCAGTGTTCTCAATTGTCATCCGCTAGCTGTTTCTGTAAACTAGAAGACATGAGAAAACAGTGTTAGTGTTTTTTAGGAACTCAGGTTCCACATAAACAGATAATTTCCATTACTGAAGATGACAGCTTCTAAAACAGCACTTCTATATGCTTGAAGGAATCAATAATGATTTCAAAATGGGGAAAAGCATTTCAATTTAGTTGTTTACACAGACAATACAACTCACTTCAGTGAAGATGATTTCAGCCTAGGAGAAATCTGCAGTCCAAGAGACTTCTTTTGCATAGATCCAAGATCTGCCCCAGGCCACAGAAGTCAAGTATTGTTTAAAGGGCTACAACAGTTTAAAAAAGAATGACCACAAGTTACGGCCCTCACCTTTCCAGGTACTCCTTGACATTGTCGTAGCCGTAGAACTTGGCCAAGTGGATGAGCATGCCCGTGGCACAGCGCCCGTCCCGCCGGCGGCAGTAGCTGCAGTTGCACACGCCGCGACAAGGGGGACAGATCCAGGCCTGCCGGGGGGTGAATGTGGGAGGGGAGTTAAAGGCAAGCTATTAAGTAAGATTATATTTGCCTTCCTGTTGCCCAGACAAGAGTATGGCCTCCTTACTGCATGACTGTTCCAGGACAAGGTTTTACAAGCCAAAACTGGCCAGCCAACCAACCTTGTTACCTCCCAAACTCTGCAGGATTAAAGAAATTATTAAGTACTATCCTGTTTGATTTTCTTACTCTGAAGACTCAGGCTCTCTGATTTTTTCAGTACAAATTTAAAATAGACTAAAGGCATGATAAGCCTAATGATAACTCATCCTATGTTAGGTTAACCATAGCAAACTCCCTAGAAAAAGATGGGTAGCCACTGTGACAAGAGTCTGTCATTGGCTCTGCCTGCTGGCATAGCCCTATTCCTGAAACTGAATTACCCAGCGTGTACATGAAGCCAGGCATCTCCCAGCTGCTCAGAAACTGAACATAGAGGCACGGGTGCTAACAGCCTGCATTACAGTACAGCAGCAGTTGCCACACTGGTCTAACACACTGAGGCCATTAGCTCTTCATTGTCCTTCAGAAGAGCTCAGAAGCTCACCTCTAAAGCACAAGTCGGGGGGAGGAGGTCCCAGAACAAGCTGAGCACAGAAAGGACAATTCTGCAAAGAGGTCTTTGGCAGCAGCCTGCACTGTCTCCTTGCTCAATGGCTTGGGGGACAACAGAGGAAAGGTAACCAACCCTAAGACTTTTAAATATCCTTCTCCTTTTTTCTCATATTTAAAAATAAGAATCTAAAACAAGGAACCTGCTTTGCATTAAAAAAAAGGGTACATTTTTGTATTTTTCTGAAAAGGGACAGATTCCTTTTCTTAAAAGGTCTCGTGTTTTCCCTCCACTATCTGGCAAGCAAGTGGAGCTTCAAAGCATGAAGGCAGATGGATTGTAATCCAGGTCCAGCAACTTCCACTTGAGTTCCAAAAAGGTCAGTGTCAGTCGGAACAGTATTACAGATCTTCTCATGGCAAAAAGCTTTGAACACCATGCTATCATGAGCATATACTCATATCAGCTTACTAACAAACTGTATTAATTACACTTTCTTTCCAAGCCTGATACTTACTGGATCAAGCAGTGCTGATTTCACATCTTCCCCGTATCGATTTCGAAGACACGGTCCACAAAACTGCCCCCTTACTCCTCCACAACCCTGGTTGCGACAGATTGTCTTTGTATCAATTGTCTTTTGTCGACACTGGTGGCAAGTACTACCCTGAAGTTGGAAAAGAGTAGAAACACGTACATATGAAGGACACCTTAAATGCTTGTTGCTGAACTTTCCCAATATATCTGCTGATAGCAAAGCACAAACTTCATACCAAAGTCAAATTCAGCAATGAAAATCTTAGAACCACAAGTTCTGTTATTATGATAAATCATAGTTATCTAGAGAGATGCTAGGAATTTTAGAGAGACAATGCCCAGCCTCAGTTGTATTGGCAGTCTCAAACTACATGAACCTTATGTTGCAGTTCTAATCCTTTCTTCTATCTTGGAAAAATATGAAACTATTCAGAAAATGACCTTCTGACTTATCTCTGCAAATACAATGAAGCATGAAATATATAGTAAGCTGATCATCTAGACCTTTATGACAATTAATAATAGCCAAATCCAGTGAAGGAAAGGAGGGGTTCCATGAAGAGCTTTGGAAACTACCCAACCCGCACAAAAATGTCATTTCCAGGGGCTACAAGGAGCAGGAGGGATCACTTATTATTTAATAGTACAACCACCACAACATTTATATAAAGTGAGAATGAGAGATAAAAGGGATGTCAATACTTATCAAGTGGTGAGTCATAGCTACAGCAAATTCCACTTAATAGCTCTATACAAGAAAGCACTTCTTTGCAGAAGGAAAAAAAGTTGGTGGGGCATATCAACCAGCATGGGTAAGCCCACAGAAGCCTGGCAAAGCTTCCAGGTTGTGCCTATGTACTATAACAATGCAGAGCTGCACCCTCCAGGACCTCAGGAAAGCACACCTTTTAGCAAACACCAGATGCACTGTTAGGAGACTTTCAATTTCAAGCAAATGGACACACTAAAGAAAACAGCAGCCACTTACGAGAACTTTGTCATAAATTTTGTCTTTAACAGTCATTGCAATGTTGTCCAAGTCCTCATCAGTAATATCTTCTACTGGACGGTGAGATGAGTACTTTGATGATCTCCTTCTTTTGCGCACTCCACAATCCTCCTGCTAAACAAACTCATCTCAACACCTTTTGTCTGGCAATTTGAAGACTCTGTCACCCTCTTGGTGACAAATTCTTTCATGATAATACATATGCAGTCTAGAGGGAGCAGACAGAGGCTCATGGACCACTGGAAGAATAGGGAATAGTTTCCAAATCATCACTGCCTCTTTCTCTTCCTCTCCTCCCTAATCTTTTCTTTACTATATTTATTATTTATTCTGTTTATATGTTATTCCTTCCCATCATTGCTACTTCTATTTCCACAAATTCCTAACAACTTTTTCTGCTGCCTCCTTTTCTCTGCATTCCCTGCACTCCTCCACTGTAACTCCTCATACTCCATTTCTTCCCTCTAAGGGAAGTAACTATAATCATCTGCAGATTCCCTTTATTCATTCTCAGTTCAGCTACATAACTCCTCTCCATCTTCCTTCTATTATTTCCAGAGAGTGGTTTTTGCTGAAGATAGCTATCTGCTTTGTCATCTCCACCAGATCCCACCGCCTTGTCACTCAAAGGCTTGCTACATTGTGGGCTCTAATAATTTTCAGATAATAAATAAATAAATAATAAACCATAAGTAAACTGCCTTGTTATGTTTTGGACAACACAGGTCACAAATAGAGCCCATTTAATGCGTGAAAAATAAGGCAGGAAGGCCTAAAGACAACTTGTTCTGTAGCTAATCCCAAACCAAAAGTTCTCACTGACTTTCTGTAGGATATGATGCCTGCTCTAAGTGTTGGCCAACAATTTAAATGAATGTTTCCTAATCCCTCACTATTGGAGATATCAAAGTCTGGCAAATACCACAATGAGTCTCCTCTTCAAGAGGTTTTGTTGCCTATAGCTACAGAAGTGTTCTGCTAATTTAACAGATGACACAGTAAATTTTTCCAAGGCGAATTTCTCTGGTGGACGAGCATTTCTGGTTGGATTCATGCGACGTGCTATCTGGCCTTCAGAAAATGTCCTCCTTGGGATTTTCTTCTGTTTCTGGAAAGAGATGACAATTCCAGTAACTGTCCTTTCACAGTTATGTTTGTAGCATTAAACACCAGAGATTATCTCAAAATGTCTGTACCACACTTGTACTATCATGAATTAATCTGTTCTTCTCCCACTCCTCCTTTGTTAAGCCAAACCTCTAGGATACTTAAGTGTTCTCCCTACATGGTACACCTTTTGGTTCTTTTAAAACACCGCACTTTCACAGTCAAATTCTATTCCAATTAACATCACAGAATTATACCAAAATTTTTGTATGGCATACTAAGATAGAAGCTAGCTCTCACTGTTCTTCAACAGCTGAAGGTTTGCATTTTCCTACAATGCTGAATACACTTTCAAGGAATATTCTGAATTATATTTTTTAAATTGAAAGGGTATTAATAAGTTTCTTCTCCTACTTCCAGATTCCTAGATCTGGAAATTACAAGGAAGCACAAAATAGATACCTTTTTCATACTGTCACACCTGCCAATTACTCCATGATTGAATTCATGCAACAGAAGCCCTGCATAGACACCTATCATAAAGGCATTTGCTAAATCTGACAGGATAAACAAGATGTAGGAAGCAAGTCTGCTTGCTATTCTACTCTTCAGTTATTTTATTTCCTTTGAAGGAAGTGAAAGGCACATCACAAGGAGACAGGCTGGAAGTCAAAAACCAAGCAGAAGGGATAACTAGAATACTCCTAATGCCCTCCCCCTCCCCAAGTAAAGATACTAAATAAAAGTAGCAGGGTTATGTATTTAACTTAAGTGCTTCCATACAAATGCACGTAGTATGCGGAATAAACAAGAGGAGCTGGAGATGTGT